AAAAAAAAAAAGTAAGCATTTTCTTGTTGTGAGAGGGAAAGAGTATGATTTTGCCTACATATCTTTGTCCTTGTCCTAGACAAAAATAATCTTTAAAAAAAATCTTTTAAAAAAAGACTAGGAAACAGTTTTGTTTTTTTATTCTACGCTAGTAGCCAGTTGTGGTGGCTCATACCTTTAGTCCCAGCACTTAGGAGGCAAAGGCAGGCGGATCTCATGAGGTTTGAGGCCAGCCTGGTCTGCATAGCAAGTTCTAGACCAGCTGGGGCTATAGGGAGACCCTGTCTCAAAAAGACTTAAACAAACAAAACTAAGCTGGTATACAGTAAGTTCTTTTAAAAGTATAAATTATTGACTGAATTTTCCTTTGCCATCTTTTTTGAAGCTGAATTGATTCTTGTGAAATGGTAGGAATTTATAGTCATTTATTTATTTATTTATTTACTGCCTCCCAAGTGCTGGGATTAAAGGCATGTGCCACCACTCCCGGTTATTTTATAATTTTTTAGATTAAAAATATTTCTAAATCTACTATGGGAAGATGGACCAATGACAAGCTCTCTGCTTTGGTTGTCATAGGTGTTCCAGGACTTGGGGACTGAAGTACTTTCTGGAGCTGCCAAAGGCTACAACATATGCCTCTTTGCCTATGGGCAGACAGGCTCTGGGAAGACATACACCATGCTGGGGACTCCAGTGAGTGTCAGCACTGTAATGAAATATCATTCTAATTCCACAGAAAGCATGAATCTTATGCTGTCCTTGCCGTTGGAACATAGAATATGATTTGCATAGTCAACATTTTTAATGAGATTAGTGACCCCTATGAACAATGGGCTTTCATCACTTTAATTGAATTGTAAACTTTGAATAACTAGTCTCTCTTTGTTAAAGTCTGAAAAACTTTGAATTTTGCAATTCGCTTTGACAAACAGTCCTTGTTAGTCCTACTGAATTTGTATATTATTTCCAAGTTCAGTGGTTGAAGCTTAATGCTTTTGTTGGGGATAGAACCTGGCTACATCTTAGTGCTATATAGAGATGAAGACTATATTGTGTCCAAGTTCAAAGACTGTGTTTGTTAGAAGAGAGCAAGAAAAGTAACTTTGAGGCTGGGGGCTTTGGCAAGTCTATAGAATCTAATACAAATTGTTCTTTATCACAGAAAATTAAAGGGTGCATTCCTTAAGAATACCTTCTTAGGTTTAGAAGTATGCTAGTGAGATGAACTGGTAGAGTGATTGACAAATAGCCCTGTATAGGGACAGTCTGAAAGATGTGCTGCTGTGGGTCCAGTTATTGCTTCCTTTTGCCAAGAAGAAATTGCCCACTAAACCAAGGGAGATAAAACCTTTCACCTGGATATAAAATGGAGGAAGTAGCCACTTCTGGAGTTAAATGTTTTGCAAACCATGTTCTCTAGTCTTCCTGTGTATAGGGATCTAGAAAGGACTTCATTAGTAACATAAGTGATAAAGTTTTTCTAAGAAGGATAAATTTGAGTGCTTGAAAGCACATATCTAGTTTGCTGGCTTTTCTGTTCTGTCCTATAGTTATATCTGCCTTTCATCAGTGCTTTCCTTATATGAGTATCTCTTGATAGTGCCAGCCCATAGTTTTCCATATACTTTTATAGAGACTAACACCGAGAGCCCACACACCCATTCACTTAGGAGGGTTTAGTGTGGTTCCAGGTGTTAGGGGGCAGGATTGCCCTGAATAAGCAATAATGTTTTCCTTTCTTCTGTCATTCAGGCCTCTGTTGGACTGACTCCACGGATATGTGAGGTATAGACTCTGTTTTGATCTCATCCTCTCAAAGTTTCCTTTGTCTACTCCCTTTAGTGAAATTCAAACCCTCTGGTTTGTGCAGGGTCTCTTCATCAGAGAGGAAGACTGTGCCTCACTGCCTTCTTCCTGTAGGATAAAAGTAAGGTAAAAATGATCAAGCTCTAGCCCCTGGAACTTGGTTCGTATTTCCACTCCACATCTCAGCATGTTCAGCTCTTCTCTCTTTGCTCCCAGTGTCATCAGAGGGTTGGAGAAAAGCCACAGAAGATACAATTTCTAGTACATAGAGATGAGAAACATACATCTTTGGGTTGTAGAACCTTAATTCCCTACCCTTGGACTTAAGTGGCAGGTCTCTCCTATGCCATCTGTTTTCCCCTTTATTTTCTTATTTCATTTCATTTCATTAATTCATTTCAATATTTATGTGTATGAGTATATTGCCTGCATGTATGTAAGTGCACCCATGTCATGTAGTGCCCATGGAGGTCAGAAGAGGGAGTCATATCCTCTGGAACTGGAGTTATGGACAATTGTTAATTGCCATGTGGGTGCTGGGATTTGACCCCGGGTCCTCTGCAAGAGCAGCCAGTACTCTTAACCACTGCACCAGCTCTCCAGGCAGTATCATAGGACTGAATATTTGAAACTGTTATCAAGGTGGGCCTGTGAGATGGCTCAGTGGGTAAATACTCTTCTCATCAAGGCTGAAAACTGGATTTCAGTCCCTGGTCCTACATGATGGAAGGAAAATACTGACTCCTGGATCTTGTCCTCTAATCTCCATGTGTACACTTTAGCATGTGTGTTCACATACAATAACTAAATAAATATAATAAAAAATAAAAATAATAAAGGAAATCAAGAGTTCCAGCTTAGGGCGCTTCCATCAGACTTCTGTAGCAGCAAATCTAGCAGCAGAGACACCACAGGAGCCCTTCTGCCTCCAGAGAAGTGATCCACTAAATATCCCTACTTTCCTAATGCTGGAACCAGAAATCCTTTAAGTCACATCAATGGCTGGCACACAAAACCTGAAAACAAATTTCTCAGTCTACCTGGATCACAGCCTCAACTCCCTCACTTCAGTTTGTTACTTTACTCCATCTCTATGAAGTAGTAAACTGACCTAAGAGAACTTGGCTTGGAGAAGGAACAGCAAAACCTTGTGTTAAGCACTGTTTTAGTAAAACACTGAGAAAACTCCTCGTGTTACACCAGCTCCTGTACCTAAGGGCAATTCCACATACATGCTGGGCATGAGTGAACCTAGGTGACCTTCCCAGGAGCCCTAGGAAGGATTGAGGCACCCTGAGGTTCTACTTGGCCCTGTGTCACTGCTATTCTTTTTTTCAAAAAAATTATTATTTTTATGCGTATAATGCCCACATGTAGATAGGTGCACCCATGTTGTGTAGTGCCCATGGAGGTCAGAAGAGGGTATAGGATCCTCTGGAACTGGAGCTGTGGATCGTTGTTAAGTTGCCATGTGGGTGCCGGGAATTGAACCTGGGTCCTATGCAAGAACAGCAAGTGCTTTTAACTGCTGAGCCATCTCTCCAGCCCCATTCCTTCATTTTCTGTACTGTTTTATACTTTCTTTTGGGATTTTTCTTCCCAACCCACTACTGGGCTATACTGTAGGACAATACTTTTCAAAGTACTAGTTCCCAGATGTATTAGTCACTTTTCTGTTGCTGTGATAGAAACACTGACCAAAGCAATTTATAGAAGAAAGAGTTTATTTGAGCTTACGGTTCCAGGGGAATTACAGTCCATCATGGCAGGGAGGCATGGTGGCTGGAGGTGGCTGGAGCATGAGCAGCAGAAGCTAAGCTCTCACATCATCACGCAGGCACAAGAAGTAAGAGAGAAACTGGAGATGCGGCAAGGCTTAAAAACTCTCTAAGCCCACCCCCAGTGACATGCTTCCTCCAGGATAGCCATACCTTCTACAACCTCCTCAAACAGCGCCACCATGTGGGGACAAAATGTCCAAATACTTGGAGCCTATAGAGGACATTTTCATTCAAACCATCACACCAGACTAGTGCTGGATCCAATATTTTGTTTTTGTTTTGTTTTGTTTTATTGGGTGTATCTTGCTGTGTAACCCAGGCTGGCCTCATACTCTCAGTCCTCCTACTTTAGCCTCCCAAATGTTGGAATTAGGGGCACAATCCTCCATGCCTACATACTTTTTTTTTTTGGTCTTTTTAAGACAGGGTCTCCCTGTAGCCCCAGCTGTCCTGGAACTCACTGTGTAGACCAGGCTGGCCTTGAGCTCACAGGGACCCACCTGCCTCTGCCTCCCTAGTGCTGGGATTAAAGGCGTGTGCCACTATGCCCAGCACCTACATACTTTTAAGATAAAGTTTTAACCAATCTGTAGTGGAAATGTTGGGATAAGATTACTAATCTATCTTCCTTCCTTCCTCCCTTCCTTCCTTCCTTCCTTTTTTTTTTTTTTTTTTTTTTTTTTTTTTTACCCTATAGCCCCAGATGGCCTAGAACTCACTGTGTAGACCAGGCTGGCCTTGAACTCACAGAGATCCACCTGCCTCTGCCTCCCAAGCACTGGAACTAAAGGCATGCACCACCACACCAAGCTCCAATTTTTCTTTAAATCTTGTTTTCTCCTTCCTCTCTCATTCCCTCCACTCCCCTTCCCTTCATGGTATTTACTGTTTACTTTCTTGTTTTATAAAATCATTACTGGTTTCAGTTAAGAACTGTAACTTGTCTTGTGGGGCTGGAGAGATGGCTCTAAGAGCACTGACTACTCTTGCAGAGGACCCGGATTTGATTCCCAGCACTCACATGGCAGCTAAACAACTGTACATAACTCCAGTTCTAGTGGATTCAGTACTCTCTTCTGACCTCCATAGGCACTGCATGACATGGGTGCACTTACATGCATGTAGGCAATTTACTCATACACATAAAAAAAAATAGAGCCGACATGGTGGCGCACGCCTTAATCCCAGCACTCAGGAGGCAGAGGCAGGCAGATCCCTGTGAGTTCAAGGCCAGCCTGGTCTACATAGTGAGTTCCAGGACAGCTGGGGCTACAGGGAGACCCTGTGTCAAAAAGACCAAAAAAAAAAAAAAAAAGAGAGTAGATCTTTAGAAAGTAGAGCATATTTTATACTCAGTGTGTAAAATAGGTGAGTTGTCAAATTTAAAGCGGGGCAAGAATGGGAACTTCTAACTTAATTTTCCCACAGGGCTTAGCAGTGTCCATTGAGATACCTTGCAGAATAGTTGAAAGAATCCCAGCACTCAGGAGATAGAGACAGGAGGATCAGGAGTTTAAGGCCTTGGCTATATAGTTAGTAAGTTTGAGGAAAGCCTGGACTATGTGAGACCCTGTCTCAAAGAATAAGCTAGAAAATAGGAGGATCACATTGAAAGACTGTTAAAATACCTGTTATAAGCTAACCTTAAATCGGCACTGATGTTACAAACCTAAAATTAATGTGATAGCAACCAGTGTTCACAGCTTTACTGTGTACATATAGTTTTGCTCAAGGGGAAACCCTGGCTTGATCAAGGTCTTAGGATTGTCAGAGTAGAGCTGAAACCAGGAGTCCAGGGTCTTCTGATTCTTAATTTAGTATTTTTCCTTCTTTTTTCAAAAGCTAATTGTGTTGCCTTTCTTTCCTTATTTCTAGCTTCCTAGAAATCTACAATGAACGGGTGAGAGATCTTTTGAAGCAATCCCATCAAAAAAAGTCCTATGCCCTGAGGGTCAGGGAGCACCCAAAAATGGGTCCCTATGTACAAGGTAAGCTGCTGTGGTTCTAGAAATCTGAGAGGTGTAAGAAGTTGTCCTGTGTTTACTAATTCATTCAACAAGTATGTAATGAATTTTCACTATGTGCTAACTACTGGACACTGGATATGTGCTGATAAACAGAAATAGCAATCTGGTGAAAGTGAGTCATAAACAACTGCATGTTGTGATAAAGTTTTATAAAGAAATAGATATAGTGATGGAGAAGAACTTAGAAGGTATAGGCAACCAAACCTCTCTGTGTGGTCAGAAAAAGTCTCTCTGATGAGGTAACATTGAAGCTAAGCCTGAAGGAGCATAGGGCCAGTCCTGGGAGGATCAGTGCAGTGAAGGGAGGAGTGTGTCCAGTAGGGACAGCAGCGAACTAGAGCCCTGAGAGACCACTTGGTGTTTCCACGAAACCCAGTGTGGCAAATCATGGTGAGCGAGGGGAAAGAAGCCAAGAATAGGTTGGGTCTGCAGGTACCAGCTCAGCAGAGTGTTGACTGGTCAGCTAGTCCTCTTTCCAGGATACTGTCTCCTCCATTGGTAGTGATTATGAAGGGGTGATGGGGAGATGTTGGACACAGGCAGAGTCTGATGTACTTCCTCATCAAGCACTGATATTGGGGCCGGGTACCATCTCTCTTTTGTCACTAGGCTAGGTCTAGCTATTTAGGAGGAATTTATGCTCTCTTTTTTAACTTACGCTCTTTTAAGGAGGAATATTTTACTCTTCCATCACACATGTAACATGTAAATCTTACACTGCTTACAACACTATGCAAACTTCAGTTCCGAGGAGGAGAGGGACGTGAGACAAGATCTGGTCTCTTCTACTCAGGCATGGCTAACAGATGACCCAGTGCCATTCACTGATTCTAGAATCTTTTCTTTTCTTTTCTTTTCTTTTCTTTTCTTTTCTTTTCTTCTTCTTTTTTTTTTTTTTTAGAATCTGTCTTTCTTAAATGTTTCTTCATGCAAGCATCCTGGAAACAATAACAAAATGCCAAAATGCCATTTTGAGTTTCCTCTCTGAAACTGCAGGTGCTTTTCCATGTAAAGTGATACTTTCAAGGCTACATATCAATACATTAGTGTCACGACTCCTCATTTTAAACTGCTTTCTCATCCTCTACCTCCTTTTCCTCTTGTTTTCCCCTCTGCCCTCCCTCTTACCCCCTCTTCAGAAGTAGCCAGAGGAGACCTCAGCACACCTCCATTTCATTCTTTCATTACAGTTTACAGTTTCCTCTGAAATATTGCTATCTTATATTTTTTTTAAATTTTATTTATTATTTTTATTTTATGTGTATGCGTGTATTGCCTGCATGTAGGTTAGTGCACCTGTGTCGTGCAATGCCCATGGAGGGCAGAAGAGGCTGTCGGATCCCTTGGAACTGGAGTTACAGACAGTTGTTACTGCCATGTGGGTGCTGGGATTCAAACCCAGGTCTTCTGCAAGAACAGATGCTGAGCCATCTCTCCAGCCCCTGCTATCTTTTTTAAAAAAGTATTTTATGTGTACAAGTGTATTGCCTGCATGTATGTGAGTGCACCCATGTCATGCAATGCTGCAAAGATCAGAGAGGGCTTTGGATTTCCCTGGAACTGGAGTTAAGGACAGTTTGTAGCTGCCGTGTGGGTGCTGGGACTCAAAACCGGGTCCTCTGCAAGAGCAGTCAATGCTCTTAACTGCTGAGCCATCTCTCCAGCCTGCTACCTTATCTTTTAAGTCTTGAAAATACTAGACAGAGTTGCTTCAAGATATGTTTGATAACTCCTGTATCTGAACCTTTCTTGAGTAGTTTTCATTTACATCACCAGGTCTACATGTGTGTTTGGGTTTGATAATAACTTTTTGCCAGTTTTTGCAAAATTGTTGTTAGAAATGTGTTTCTTTCTCTACAGAAAGCATTTTTTGCACTAAATTCCTATGCATACTAGGGATTAAGACATATTCCATTCCAATTGAAAGATCAAGAATGTTTGAAGCTTAGCTGCAATCTTTGGAAAGGCTTATTTACTTCTAATTTACCTTATTCCTGTTTTGTAGTCCTTTGGGTTCTGTCTAAAAGAAGTGGGGTTCTGAGCCAGACAGGTGGCTCATATCTATAATCCCAGCACTCAGGACATTGAAACAGGAGGATTGTCATGTGTTCAAGGACAGGCTGGGAAAGAGTGAGACCCTGTCTCAAAAAACAAAACAAAACGAAGTGTGTGAGGAGGGTGTCTTACAACCTTTGTCTCCTTACTCCTGGAAGGTTGCTAAGAAAATTGATTTTAGCCACTTCCCCTTAAGGTTGACAAATGTCCTGAGGGACTAAAGAGTCCCAGCTGCTGTTCCTGTTTCTCTGGGTCTCCATCTTCCCCAGTATGCAGCCTTGGGAATATTTTATTATCTGACTATTCTTCAACTAAATAGATGTCCTTTGTGTTTTCTATAGCTTTTTCTAGCAGTTTTAGTGGTCTATATTATCTAATTTGCCATTATCAAAGAAAAAGATCCCCAATATATTTAACTTTATATGGAGAATTTGGAGTATGTGCAAAATTAGGCAAATATGTATACTTACACCAACTTCTGTGACATTTGAGTGTAAGGTGTTGTATAAATAGTATTAACTTTCATGTTTGTAAACTGAGTGGGAAAGGACAAGAGTACTGTGTATTTTGTATTGCCAAACTGAGTCTGCCATCTTGTAGGCAAAATAGCAACTTCCTGTCTCAGGAATTTTGTGAAGGCCAAATAAATGATGAGGGCATTTCTTATAACTTATATAGTAAATTTGTGTGGAATTTTTTGTTGTTAGCATACCCACTACATGAATTCTATGCCATAGTCTTTGTGGAAATGGCTGGCATTTCTAGATCCCATCATAACGTCTGACAGTAGGTTTCCAATAAATATTTATTAACTTGTTATCTGAATTACCTTATTAGTCAATTTTCCTCATTCTTGTTTGCCAAATGATATGAAATAAAAATGATAAGCCAGGTTTGGTAGTAGATGTATTTAAATTCCAACACTCAGGAGGTAGAGACAGGGATCTCTGTGAGATCAAGGCCAGCCTGTTCTGCATATCATGTTCCAGACCAGCTGGGGCTACAGGGAGATTCTTTCTCAAAAACAAAACAAAAAAGATAAATAAATAAATGAAGTTTTAAAAACTAGGGCTAGCAGGAATGGCTCAACAGGTAAAGGTGCTTGCTACCAAACCTTATAACTTGAGTTTAATCCCTAGGTCCCACATTAGGGAAGGAAAAAACTGATACCTTGAAGTTGTCCTCTGACTCCATACATATACCATAGCATTCACGTGTGTGTGCGTGTGTGCGTGCACACACATGCACACACATACTTGTAATATTTTTAAAAATGACCTATAGAAAATGGTTAAACTTTACCAAAATTTTTATTTCTTTTCTCCCCCTCACAAATGTGATAGGTCTTTCTCAACATGTGGTTACCAACTATCAGCAAGTTATCAAGCTCTTAGAAGAGGGAATAGCAAACAGGTAAACAGATTTGTTTCCATAATTCTTATAGCCTCCTGCGCCTAGCTTGTGTTCTCTTCTGCTTTGGAGAGTATGGCCACTTCTGTAAAGATCTCTGCACTTTCCTACAATTCACAACCAGAAGGCCCTTCTCAGAACAGGACTTCAACTAAGACAGTGCTCCTCTCACTGCACTTTGCTCTGGACATAGCAAGATTGGGCAGGGAGCCCAGAGACCTGTGCTGTAGCTTGTTTGCTACTTTGATAAAGAATAGATTCTTGCCTGCATTGTCTTCTCCTCAGATGGCTGCAGACAAATATAGCACAATATATTTAGAAAACCATTTTTCCTCATTTATGTTTCATACTTGGGAGGCTTTAGGTATATGAAGCCGGGAAAATCTGCCATGAATAACTTACATGCCTCAGACCCTTCTAAAAGATACTGTACAGCTGGGCGTGGTGGCACACACCTTTAATCCCAGCACTTGGGAGGATCTTTGTGAGTTCCAGGCCAGCCTGGTCTACATAATGAGTTCTAGGACAGCTGGGGCTACAGGGAGACCCTGTCTCAAAAAGACAAAAAAAAAATTAAGATACTGTACATTGTGATAGCATTCTATGCTTTTAGTTACTGTACCTAGAATATTATTAATAAATGCCTACAGGGAAAGCTTTTTTTTTCTGGAAGAAAAAGTATAATCCTCTTTTTCCTGTTACTATTAGGCCCTTTATTTAACTGAAAAATAAAAGAAAAATTTTAAATCAAGCATTCTACTCTTGTAGTTTCATGGCAGTCTCCCAAAGGAAGTTATATCTGGTTTTCAGGATAGTCTGGACATGGTGGTGCATGCCTGTAATCCTAGCACTTGGAGAGGGTAAAGCAGAAAGATTGTAAATTTGAGACCTGCCTAGGCTATAGAGTGAGTTTGAGACCAATTTGTGAAATTTAGTGAGACCTTGTTGTAAAAGAAGGTGTTAAAAAAGGCTGTGAGCTGAGGGTATGGTTCAGCTGGTAGAATGCTTATTTAGCATACAGAAAGTCTTGGGTTTGATCCCCAGCACTACATAAACCAGGTATGGCGATACATAGCTATAGCTCCAACAATCGGAGGTGGAAACAGGAGGATCAAAAGTTCAAATTTGACTAAAAACTATGGTATGAAATGTACAAAAGCTCAGTTAAATTTTTTTTTTAACGTTCAAGGTCATCCTCAGCTACATCTAGGCCTGCTTATGCTGCCTGAGACCATTTCAAAAAAAAAAGTGGGAGGGGTGGGAGCTGGGGTGTAGCCCAGTGGTAGAGTACTTGCCTAGCATGCCTGAGCTCTAGGCTTATTCTACAGTGCCAACAAACAGACTAAACAAATGTAAGAGTTAGTATTTACTGATTCCTCTGTATCCTTAAATTATGAGAAAACCTAGTGTACTGGATAGCTTTAGTGTCACCTTGACATACCTGGGTTGAGGGAGCCTCAATTGGGGAATTTCCTCTATTTGGACTGGCCTATGGCCATGTCTGTGGGGAATCTTCTTGATGAGTGATGTGGGAGGGCCCAGCCCACTGTGGGTGGTGCCACCTAGCAGGTGGGCCTGTGTTGCATAAGAAAACAGGCTGAGAAGGGGCCAGGAGAGCAAGTCAGTAAGCAGTGATCCTCCGTGGCCCGCTCCAGCTCCTGACTCCAGGTTCCTGCCCTGAGTTCCTACCTTGGGCTCCCTGATGAACTGTGACCTGGGAGATGTAAGACAAATAAACCCTTTCCTCCCCAAGTTGGTAGTGGTCAGAGTGTTTTGTCACAGCAATGGAGAAACAGACTAAGACATAAATTGGTACCAGAGAGTGGGCTGTTGACTCTGAAGAACCTGACCATGTGGGGTTTTGGAAAAATGTGGAAGACTTTGGAAGTTTGGGCTAGAAAAGTGGTTGATTGCTGTAAGCGGAGCTTAACAGGCCATTCTAGTAGGGGCCTGGAAGAAAGTAGTGCTGAGAACAATATAGTTCCAGAGGGAAATAAGGACTTTGGCTGAAGTTTGCCCTCGACCTAAATGCTTTCCTGAGGCTAAGTTGAAAAGCAATGGACTAATTTCTCTGGTGGAAGAAATTTCAAGACAGCCTAATGTAGAAATGGTGGTGTGGCTATTAATGGTGAATATTATACAGATTTACAGTGAAAAAGAGCAAATTGGGCAGAAAGAAATACAAAATGTACAGGATGGATTGAAAAAGAGCACTAGGAAGATTAATGTTGGAGCCCTGGCATGTGATGGAGAGAATTCCATTGATATGCAGAGATTAAACTGATTAAGGAGGGGCCTAGAGATTTGGACTTAAACAATGGAGAGAACGCCTCCAGGGCAATACCACACCCAGTTAAGCCTCAAACTTGTGAAAGCAAAATGCTGCAGGGACCACTGAAGAGAAAAGCTTCTAAAATGGATAAAGCAGGCTGGAGTCCACCCCAAACTTGAAGTCAAACTTGGCAGTGTTGTTCACCTGGTACTGGCTTTAGAGGCATGAAAGATGCAAGAGTAAAGGGGTCATCAATTCTTCCTCTGTGGTTTCAAGAGCCTCAGAGGCCAGGCAGTGTGCAGCAGGGGTACCCCTGCATAGAGAAGGCCTTGATAGGCCACTGGGTGACGCTGTGAAGGTGAAGCCTGGTTGGCAATGGAGACCCCAAGAAGACGTTCATGATGCCAGAGCTGTGAGGCATCTGCCAAGAAGACCTGCATACAGGGAGTGGTACCAGCACAAGATAGAGATGTGTGTTGCAACTAGCAAAGCTAGAGAGGCTGAGCCATCTAAGCCCTTTGGAAGCCCCAGAAGCTGGACATGGACCTATTGGATTTGGTGTTTGCCCTGCTGGTTTTTGGTCTTCTTTTGGTCCAGTATTTCCTTACTAAGCCTCCATTTCTCCCTTTTGGAACTGTAATATGTATTTGGTTCCACCATATGTTGGGAGTATGTAATTTGTCTTTTGATTTTACAGGGGCTAACAGTTAAGATATTTTGCTGAGTCTCAGAGGAGACTTTGGACTGTGGACTTTGGAATAGTAGTGAGATTGATAATGACTATGGGGACTTTTAAAGCTGGATTAAATGCAAAATGCATTTTATATGGTCATGAGCCTATGAGGGCCAGGGGATGGAATGTGGTGGTTTGAATGAAAATGTCCCCCATAGGCTCCAAGTGTTTGGACATTTTGTCCCCAGATGATGGCACTGTTTTGGGAGGTTTTAGAAGGTGTGGCTATCCTAGAGGAAGCACGTCACTGGGGGTGGGCTTAGAGAGTTCTTAAGCCTTACCAGATCTCCAGTTGCTCTCTTGCTTCCTGTGCCTGTGTGATGATGTGAGAGCTTAGCTTCTGCTGCTCATGCTCCAGCCACCTCCAGCCACCATGCCTGCCTGCCATGATGGACTGAAATTCCCCTGGAACTGTAAGATCAAATAAACTCTTCTATAAATTGCTTGGGTCAGTGTTTCTATCACAACAGAGAAGTGACTAATATACCTACATATTTTTTTTTAAAGTAAAATGTCTAGGCCACGTATGGTGGTGCCTGCCTTTAGTCCCAGCACTGGGGAGTTAGAGGCAGGGGAATCTCTGTGAGTTCAAGGCCAGCCTGGTCTACTTAGCAAGTTCCAGGGTTCCAGGTCAGCTGGGGCTATAGGGAGACCCTGTCTCAAAAAGACCAATTAAAAAAAAAAAGTAAAATGTCCATTTTATTTTACTTTCCCAGAAGATGGTTTTTCTTCTGTCCTTATGAACCCAGCTCTTTACATGGGCTTTGGTGGAAGCTATGGGGCAGCACCAGCAGGTCTAAATTGGTCTTTTCCAACAGTGATGCAGCTTGACACAGAGCTTGGGAAGCACATAAGCGTTGAAAACACTAGCTTCAGAAATGTTGCTGTTGCCAGCGGCCTCTACTCTGTTCCAAATAATGAGCTTCTTAATGGCCTGTCCTTAGGCATGCACCGGGTGCAGTTCATGCAGTGCATGGGCTGCATGGGGCTGAGATCCTTTTTGGTGTGACCATTGTTTCTTCTTTTTTTGGTCATCTTGAAGCCAGGAACTGAAAGAAGGCAGAACACCTAGATTTTGACCCTTCCCAAACTCTGTTCTCCAGCTCCCAAGAGAAATCAATGAAATAGTCTGAGATAATTTTAAACAGAATTATCATTGACTTAGATTTAGATAAAGGAAAGACTCCTGACTTTAGGGATTAACACTGGGATGGATTTCTAAGAGAGACTATGTACTCCTCATTTAAACATGGCATTGATGAATTCAAGATCTCAGCTCCAGCCTTTCTGATGCTGTAAGATTAATATTCTGCTTTACGACTTACCTCCTCTGTCCTAGAGGCTTCTCCAGCAAGATTTTATCTTTTTGTGTTTTAGACATTTCTTTATTCATTCGCACATTTGTGTATGTGTGTATGGATATGTGCGAAGCTTCACATGCCTGTGCCTGCATGTGGAGGACAGAAGTCCAGATGTCAGGTGTCTTCCTATATTGCTTTCCACATCACTTTTTCAGACAGGGTTTCTCACTAAACCTAGAGCTCACTGACTGGCTAGACTTGCTATCTCACAAGCACCCTAGGATCCTCCTGTCTCTGTCTCCCAGCATTGGCATTACAGGAATGCCACCAGGCCTAGCTTTTTATGTTGGTGCTGGGCATCCAAATTCACTTTACTTGCTGAATCATCTCTCCAGCCCCACTCCTAACATTTCTTTTTTGAAAAAATATTGTACTTATTAAGCCAGGCGTGGTGGTGCACTTGGGAGGCAGAGGCAGGCGGATCTTTGTGAGTTTGAGGCCAGCCTGGTCTACAAAGTGAGTTCCAGGACAGCTGGGGCTACAAGGAGACCCTGTCTCAAAAAGACAAAAAAAATTGTACTTATTTTTCATGTGTGTGAATATATTGCCTGTATGTATGTAAGTATACCCATGTCATGCAATGCCTGTGGAGGCCAGAAGGTGTTGGGATCTCCTGGAATTGGAGTTATAGATGGTTGTTAACTGCCATATGGGTGCTGGGAATTGAACCTGGGTCCTCTGCAAGAACAGCCAGTGCTCTTAATCACTGAGCCATCTCTCCAGCCCCCCAGTCCTAACATTTCTTATGTTCACCATGGATCCTTCCCAGTCCTTTGTGCTTAACCAGTCTGTCTTCCCTTGTATACACAGAATCACAGCAGCCACTCATGTTCATGAGGCCAGCAGCAGATCCCACGCCATTTTCACTATCCACTACACACAGGTTGGTAGCTTCTTGTTTTCGGAGAGCCTTCTTTCTTTCTTTCTTTTTCTTTTTTTCTTTTTCTTTTTTTTTTTTTTTTTTTTTTTTTTTTTGGTCTTTCTGTTTATTCTAGGTGCAGCCCCAGCTGGCCTGGAACTCACTATGTAGACCTAGACCAGGCTGGCCTTGAACTCACAGAGATCCACCTGCCTCTGCCTCCCAAATGCTGGGATTAAAGCTGTACACCATGCCTGGCTTGATTGTTTTCTTGTCTTCCTTTCTCTTCTTTTTCCTTTCCTCCTACCTTTCTACTTTTTTTTTTTTTTGTCTTTTTGAGACAAGGTCTCCCTGTAGCCCAAGATGGCCTGGAACTCACTATATAGACCAGGTTGGCCTTGAACTCACAGAGATCCTCCTGCCTCTGCCTCCCAAGTGCTGGATTAAAGGTGAGCACCACCACACCTGGTTTACCTTTCTACTTATAAGTTCTCTGATATAGCTAACTTATCCAAACATCTTCTGTTTATCTTTTGCTCATAACATTTTAGAATGCTTTCACAGCTAATGATCAGTTTGGGTCTATCTAAAATCAAAACCAAGGTTGAAATGAAATAAGCATTAAAGTGAAAAAAATAATAAAATAAAATTCATTCCCAATGTGATAGAGCAAGATTGACAAATCCATTTCCCAAAGTTGGACAAAACTATTTCTGTGCTCTGAAAAAATAGACTGAAGGCATATAACAAAATACTTATTCGAGAAAAGTACTGAATTTCAAGTACAGACAGCACAGATGTATGATGTTTTTGCCTTGGGCTTCTCCCATGCCCACATACCTCTAGCTGTACCAGTGAGGGAGTTCACTCACAGAAGGTAAGGCTGTGAAGACTAGCACTTTGCTGTCACTACCACCAGAGTGGGTCACTTGATTTTGTGTGGCCAGTTACAGTGGGTATCTCAGGGAAACAAAGAACCAGTGACTCCACTAGGTTTAGATGTGAATCCTTTTCAGGTAAGACATGGCTTGCCAGCTCAGGGATTTAACAGGGCATTCTGGGAGGTAATATAGTTATAGTGGGTTTAACAATATCATTGGTACTTTAAGCTTCACATATATGCAGCAAAGACTAATTGATCCAAGCCATCCACTAGTCCTGACTTGACAAAACTCACACATATGTGTGGAGGAGACACAAGAGGGCTCTGTGACTAGTGAATGTGTTATAGTCTGGGATCCACAAATATCTCAAACAGACAGACAAGTGAGTCTGGAGAAAGAAAGATTTCTTATGGCCAGGCTACATTCTTTCCTAGAGGGTCCGAGTGCAGCCCTGAGCCTAAGCACTCTGGCTCATTTTATATTCATCATGTTGCTAGGCAAGCAAGCAGAATATAGAAGCCAATCATTGAGCGTTAAGCTTGAGCAAACATTATTAAGGAAATACATAAGAAAATACAATTTTCCATCCAAACCCTCCACCCACATGGAACTAGCTTCCTTCTGTTTCATAAACTGATATTATCAATGGTATTCTATTTTGTCTTTACCAGTCACAGAGTTCCCTCTGGGGGGGGTTGTTGTATAGCAATTGTATCTTAGGAACCTCTAAATGTTGTGGGGTACTTTTTGTACAGAGAAACTGTAACCAGGAGTGAAAAGTTTAGGTTCCCAAGCATACAAGTGGAGAGTCCCCTAAATAATTTCTATTCTATTAAGAAACAATTATATTTTGCTGAAGTAAGCCAAGCATAACCTACAGAAGCCGTAAATCAGCAGTTAGCAGGAGCACTCTAGGACACTCTGACCTGTTTCCAAGATAACCAGGGTCCAGCTTGCATGTTTTTATATCCTGGGCCAACTATCTGATAATTTCAGAGACTAGAGTCAGCCTAAACTTTAACATGTAGTAGCTATGATCAAGAAGGTGCCCTATTACAAATGCTGGAATAAAGTTTAAAATATTCTGAACTTTTAGAGCTAGGTATGGTGAGGCACACCTTTAATCCCAGCTCTCAGAAGGCAGAGGCATGTGGAGCTTTGTGGGATTGAGGCCAGCCTGGTTTACAAAGTGAACCAGGCCAGCTGGGGCTATAGGGAGACCTTGTCTCAAACTATCCTGAACTTTTAATGCATTTCTCTGGAGACACATAGATCTAGTCACAGAGATTAAAAGTCTTGTTGAATCAAAGTGTGGTGGCTCATACCTGTAATCCCAGCACTGGGAAGGTGCAGGCAGGAGTATCAGGAATTCAAGGCCAGTTTGGACTATATGAAACCCTGTATCAAAACAAAAACAGCTGGAGCTGGAGAGATGGCTCAGCAGTTAAGAGCACTTGCTTCTCTTCTAGAAGACCCAAGTTCAGTTCCTAACATCCACATCAGGTGGTTCACAACTGCCTGTGAATCCAGCTCCAGAGAAATCAGACACCTCTAGCCTCTTAGGGCACCTGCATTCATGTGGATTCATGTGTTGCATGCACACAAACACATTAATAAAAACAAAAATAACTTTTAAAAAGCCCAGGCATAGGCCAGGCATGGCGGCATAGGCCAGGCATGGCGGCGCATGCCTTTAGTTCCAGCACTTGGGAGGCAAAGGCAGGCTGATCTCTGTGAGTTCAAGACCAGGCTGGTCTACAATAGTGAGTTCCATGCCAACAGGCTACAGAGAGACCCTGTCTTTAAAAAGACCAAAAAAAAAAAAAAAAGTCCAGGCATGGTAGTGTATGTCTATATTCCCAGCACTTGGGAGGTACAGGTGAGAGGATGCAGAATTCAAAGCCAACCTCCACTACATGAGACCCTGTCTCAAAACAAACAAGGTGAGGAGATGCATATCTATAATCCCAGTACTTGGGAAGTAGAAGCAGAAGGATGAGGAGTTCCAGGCCATAGTAAATTTGAGCTTGGCCAGGCATGGTAGTGTATGTCTATATTCCCAGCACTTGGGAGGTACAGGTGAGAGGATGCAGAATTCAAAGCCAACCTCCACTACATGAGACCCTGTCTCAAAACAAACAAGGTGAGGAGATGCATATCTATAATCCCAGTACTTGGGAAGTAGAAGCAGAAGGATGAGGAGTTCCAGGCCATAGTAAATTTGAGCTTGGGGACTACATGAGACCCTGTCTCAAAAAAAGGGGCATCCCCCTTGCCCTCCAAGGCTGACTAAGTTCCAGGGGACTATGGAACATCTCTCAAAATGTCCTGTAACTGTGGTGAGTCACCTGTCCTCTTGTTCAGGGAGGACATGAAGACCCCACGAGATGGACTTGAGGCAGTGTCCAGTCTACAAAGAGGAGGATGAACTCAGAGGAAACATCTCATTCACATTCATGCTTCCAAGCGAAGCCAGACATGATCGAGCAGGACTTTTGACTTATCTTCACATAGACGGAACTGGTAAAAGAAAGGAGCCAGGTGCTCCTCCCAAACCCGTGTGACCCCTGAGGAACAGATCCTCAGATGACCCTAAGTGTAAAAATAAATTGATTTATTTGGGCCAACTGTATGGTCTTAAACACCCAAAAGGAAAGTATAACCAAAAATTAAAGTGATCAGTATATTTCTTTCTAAGAGTTCAAGGGGTAACACTTCTCAGACATTAGACTTACATCTATATAAAAAGTTATTTAGACAATTCATTGATGATTTTGTTCCTAACCAGAAAGTGCTGCTCAGATATAAGACTTCAAATCTTGGTCTCCAATACTGTAGTGCCCACCTGTAGCTAAGGGAGACAACCAGCTATTGTTCTAAAATGATGGATAAATTTGTTTTCTCCCCCTATCTAGAAGCTTTTGAAGGAACTAACACTGATTCTGACCACTCCCACAGCAATCAAAATACCTGAAAGAAAATCCCAAATCCATCACTCTAGAGTCCAGCCTTGGAAGACAAAAGAAAAATGAGGAGGTACCCAATAGAGGGATGCTTTTGGAAGCCCTTGTCAAGAAATTCCAATGGACTCATTTGAACAATTGAAAATTGCCTTGTTCTGACTTTTTTCTAGTTCTCTGGTTAGAACTTGTAATGCCTTTACTTCTTGCCTTTACTTCTCCTTCACATCTCCTATTCATGATTTAAGGACTTTCTTTTCCCCTTAGAAATAAGAGTTAAGAAAGGAACTACTATACACGGTGATGGAAATTCAAAGAAGGTATAACCATGGAAATACACAGCTATATCAAGAATGTGAACAGAAATAAAAATGACAAGATTCAATGCACATCTTTCATTAATAATTTTAAATATCAATCGA